TTTGCTGCATGTGGCCTCGACCTGTGTTGGCATAGATCGTGTTGAGAGTGGTCCAGACCTCCGACGAGGTCTTGGCAGTGGCTAGGAGCGGCTGGATGGTCATTGTAATAGCACCAAGGAGTGCGCTATAAATGAGTTTGTCTTGTCTTCTCCACACCGTGTACTCAGGATTTGGTGTGACAGCACCTGCGACCGTAGTTGTAGCAGGTGGAACAGCTGTTGTGCCATCGACGTAGCCGGCGAGGTCGTACCCTTCGAGAAGAGCATGAACCTGACGATTCCACATCAAAAAGTTGGATGTGGTGAGTTTGGTAACATTTTGCATGTTGACATTGATGAGATGATCATTGTTGTTGATCGAGATCGTTTCGCTGGTTGATTGAGGAGATTGAGCCATCGGAAAAATGGGCGAAGAAGATTTTGAAAAATAAAGTTGGCGGCTGAAAAATTTAGGTTTCTTGGGATCGCTGCTCTGATACCATATAGATTAGGGAACTTAATATTCATTAGAGAGAATGATTACATATTTATAGTACATACGAGAGGGTTTACAGCTAACTATTTACTAATATAACCTTTACATAAATATCTCCTACATAATATGCATTAGTCATGAATATTAAACGTAACTGCATGATGAAACCAAAAGATTAATAAACGACTCTTACAGTTATCACATAATTAACAAAGGCTTATGCTTCATGTTAGGCTTAAATATGAAAACAAACATTTAGGCCCATTAAATCTTGAGAAATGGCTACATCATCAGCTTCCTTGCTTCCGTCTTTTATCGTCTTCTTCCCCAAACCCTGCTTGAGAATATGAGAGAGATCGAAGCAAAGGATCATCCAATTACAACAATCTGAATCTTTCATGTTCCCTTCGAAATTCACGTCTTCCTTCGATTCACAGATAATTTCATCACTGTCTGATTTTTAGCGGAAATTATCACGATCGTCTTCTAAAAGCTCCATGTCTAATTAAGCTTTGTTTGCTCCCAGTCCCTATTTTTTTTTATCTCATCGGTCCAGATCCAAACACTACATTCAATAAAACTGAATTTGCTGCTGAATTCGAATTCTATCTCTCTGCTCATCACTTGGAGAGGCATTGTTCTTCTTCACAAAAGTAAGAGTGACTTCAAAGTTCAATCTCTCTCTCTTTCGAGAGTTTAGTCGGCCGATTAATCATCTAGCCTTGTTAATTGTCGGAATCGTCTAGCCTTGCTAATAAACTTACTAAGCTAATATATAGTTATTATTTATCTTGTATGCAATATATACATTATATACATAACACATTAAATAATATTATTATTATGATTATGAAAATATTTTATTAAATGTATATACAATAGATATATATATATATATATAATAATAAATTTATGATTTGAATTTATCTTTTAGATATAATATATTTCACTAACTTTTTAAAAATATATATTTTAAAATAATATAATTACTAGGTGGTAGTCCGCACCATGTGCGGGCGAAAATGTGTTAGAAATGAATATTTTACTTGTTTAGAAAGTGATGATAACATACTCTAATTTTTTTTTATAAATTTGAACAGTTAATATTAATGTATAAAGAGATCGTATTTAACTGTTTAACTTAAACAGGCGAAAAAATTAATACTGTGAGTAATTTACATAATACAATCGAACGTGAAAATAAAAAAATCTGTAACTAATTAAACTAAAAAAAACAACAAAGGCAAAGAGAGTACCGATCCAATATCCCAAGATCCCCATATAGAATAGTTGCTGTGTTTTAAATTCTAAGATTTAACACAAAATATAATTGGGTGATTACATCATTAAATTATTAACTTTGTTACAAATAAAAAATCAAACATAAATATAACAATAATGTTAGACATTCAACCAATAAAAAAAGATCTAACAACCATAATAAATATATTGTTTTATTTACTAAAATATTGTAACTACAGAAGTTTATTTTTCTGTAATTCTTTTTACCTCTTCCTCGCCAGAGTTCTCTCTTTATTTTCTCGTAAGTGTTTGTCATTCTAATCGGTTATTCCACGTGTTTTCGTTCTTCTTCTTTAACATATTTGATTTATGTTTCTTCTTCTACTTAATTGTCTTTGACTTTGACTTATTCTTTATCATCTTTTTCTTTTCGAACAATTGTTCTTCTCCATTCTCTTTCGGTTTGTCATTGTCTTTCTCTTCCGATTATTCTTTTTCATCTTTTTCGTCTTCTCTAACTTATTATTTTTTTGGTTTTCTTCATCTTCTACATTTTCATCTCTATCTTCTTCTTTTTCTTCCTCTTCTTTATATTCTTATTTTTCTTAATTTCTTAATCATCTTGGGCTTCTTGTTTTTTATAATCTTTGTCTTCTTCAAATTCTTCTTCTTCTTTTCTTTTGTTTTTTATCCGTCTTGTTTTTTTCTTCTTCCTTCTTATAATTCATCACATTATTTTTCTTCTTTGTGTTTCTTTAATTTCTTGTTCTAAGTTTCTCTTAGCTTCCTTTCCCATCTTCACCTTCTCATACGTTGTCATCTTCAACTTCTGTTTCGCTTCCTTATCTTGAACATATAAGTCCTCGTATTTTTCGAGTTTTTCTTAATCAGCTCTCTCTTCTTCTCCTCCTTTTTTTTGCTCTCATCTTCCTCGTTTCCTTCTTCATCTTCATCCTCTACAACTTTAACTTCTACTTCTTTTTCTTCGTTTTATTTCTTTTGAGTTTTCTTTAATCTATCATTCTTACTTATCTCGTCTTTGTCTTCTTCCTCTTCTGCTTCATATTCTGATCTTTCTCATTGTATTTTTCTTCTTCTTTTTTCTTATTTTCTTTGACTTATTTTTCACAATATTCATAATCTCAACTTCTTCTTTTTTCCACTTTCTTACCCCCTCTTCTTCCTCTTATTCTTCTACTACTTTGTTTTCTCATTTTTTCATTTTCTCTAACCTCTCAAGCGTCTGATTCTTTTTCTTCTTCTTCTTCTTCTTCAACTTCCCCATCTTGTAATCCTTATGCGTCTTCATTAGTTTGGGTTATCCACCTTTTTATTTTTCTTTTCGGAATTAATTGATATGACTCTGTCTTTGTCTTTTTGACTTCTTCGTCGTCTATTCATCTTCTTTTATGCTTCTTCTTCTTTTATATCCTTCGACTTCTTCTGTAGTTTTTTTCTCTCTTTTATTTTGAATAGGATTTACAATTGATAGTTGTATTGATTTGTACAGAATCAATTTCTTTAAAGATAGTATAATAATTCTCGTGCAATAAAAAAGAGAACATAAGATTTGTGAGTTAACATGTTTTTTCATCGTTGTTTGCTCTGATTATGCTACTTCTAATGAGGTTTGTAAGACTTTTTTTCATTCAATCAAAATCAAATTGAGATGAAACACTTTTACAGTACACAAATTTTCGAAACAATATCTCATTGCTCTCATTGGAAATTTGACCATAATATCCGTTTCACATGTATAATAATAATAAAGTGATAAAAAATTGCAACAAAGCTGTAGTAGTTCAGGAACAAATTTTCCGTCATGCTTATTTCCTATTTTGTTCTCTTAGTTTACTTTCAACCATCTTGGCCATCTCGTCATTTTTTTTGACATCAAAACAGCTTCATCATTTCAAGTATTATTTTCTTGTAGCTTACGTTCATGAACCGCATATATATTTAAATTATCTAAATTTAAAATACAACTACAGTTAATATATAAACGTATCATAATATCTATCATATATAAATGAAATGGTATTTACATGTGTTACCTCCGATAAAAAATATTATACAAAAAAACAAAATCCTAAAATATGTTTTTTCCTTAATTTTTCTTTCTTCTTCAATATTTGTGATTTCTTCCTACTTGTTTTTATCGTCTTCATTTCTTCCGACTTCTTTTCACTGTCTCCAATTTCTTCATTTTCTTTCTTATCTTTCTTTATCATATTCGTCGTCTCGATATATTATTATTTAGTTTTTTCTTCGTCTTTTACTTTTCTGCTTTGTCTAATTTAACTAATTTATTTTTGCTGTTATCATATATTATATTAAATTGATGAGAGTGTTGTATCTTTTAAACAAAAAAAAAACCATTAAGACCGTCTTAAATTGATCGGTTGAATTGACTTTAAAAGCTATATTTTTAGTAAAATTAGTGAAAATGAATAAAAAAAGCTACGACTTTTTAGGAAAAAGATTATTTAAACTGGTTTCACTTAATCGATTTAAGAAGGATCTAATTTTTTGATCCAAAATCTCAAGCCTTGTATATATATATATCAAGACTAATACAATATAAAAAAAACATAGAGTAAAGCTCTAAAGATGGAGTTATATTGCTCGACAAAACTATACATAATTATCAAAAAGATAAGATTTGTTCATTGAAAGACATCTGGTGGGTCCAATTTTCAATACCAAGGCCCTTGTGGCGGCCTTCTCTTTAAGCGTTCACTTGCCTTGATTTATTTGATCATCTTCGAATGATTTTGTTTCTTTCGATTTGAAAATATTTACACTCGATGGCTTACCTGAACTCTATGGTTTTGGGAGAAAGATTATTTGATTCAGGGATTTGAATTTGATAGATTCCACAGTAACGAGGACTTCGAATTGTTTTATGATAAACCCTAATTATCTTAAGGTAAAAGAAGATCTTGACTTGATCTCGGCTTTCTTTTGGCATAAAATTTTTGTTCAACAGAAATTCAAACTCACCGTTTAAAATTTGCTTTCCAATAATTAATTAGTGATTAGATATTTATATAGATAAAATAATTATCCCAAAAACAAAATAATTATAAGACAATAGAATTATATTCTGCAATAATGTGACTTGTAATTACGACTTTTTTGGTTAAACTTGAAAAATACAGTAACATCATTCAACAATAAAATATAATTTATCAAAAAGAAACAAGAAAATCTTGTTGATTAAATTAAAAATACAGTAATGACTTTAAAGAATCCATCAACATCACAAATGGATAACGCCGTTAACGACAAAACCAGCATTGTTCTACTTAACTTTAGGTTTGTCCTCTAACGTGACCCACGATCTGATAATGCCTGGAGGAATACTATCACCAAGAGCCCTAAGTTCTGATAAGCAAAGAGTCTTTTCCTTCATTAAGGTCTGCAATTTCGTCGCTTCAAACTCCATTTTCTTTCCATCTATAACAGTAACAAAGTATACCATTTTCCCATGAGACTAGTACATTAACATTTGAGATAGAAAGTAGCAAAACCCGTAGAGAAGACAAACCTTTCTCTAGCATTGTGTGCACAACATGAAACGGTACTGCAGCGAAAAGATCAGCTCCTGGGATAATCATCCAAGTGGGTTCGTTGGAGCCATGGGATCCACATGTAGAGCAAACTTCTTTGACCACAGGTTGTTCCGTTGAGCTCCCACGGACATCTTTCATCACAGAATCGAAAGGAGAAAGAACACTAGTCTTTGTTGTCTGAGCTCTCTTCCTAAGTGCTGTAAGAGCCTCTCTGTTCACATTCCTCTCCCTGTCATTCTCCACCATCTATATTATAAACTCCACTTGGTTAAAACCCAATTGATTTCTCGCAAGACAAGTTTCAGAGCTATCAGGATTGTTTATTATGCTACTAAGAAATCAATATGAAATACGAATCAATGATTAATATTTTCAACATGATGAAATCGAACAGATTTCAGAGTACCTGATATTGAGCTAGTAGAACCTCATCAGCTTCAGCTTCAATTTTTTCCAATAACTCAACATAGTTCTTTGGATCCAGCTCCATCTTGGTCTACTTGATTCCGACAATCAACAAGGTTAGGAACAGCTAAAAAAACATACAATTTAATGTCATAATGCCCATGCAAAACAATTATTGATCAAATAAAGCATTCTGGTTTGAAGAGGAACAAAGGAAAATATTTTTGATAAGGAGTATAGTCAATTTTCCTAATCTTGATAATTTCGATAATAACCTGTAAAAAACGAGAAGTAGAACATATTGGATGCTTGCGTGCTTAAATTCAATTTCAAATCGAAAACTCTCATTAGACCCATCATCCTAAAACCCTCATTACCGTTTCAAATTTTTGATTATATGAAGTGATTATTGCATTCCACAATATTTCTGTCGACTTCTATGTGCAAAACCAATCTGGATGAGATAATTGTCTCGTTTTCCTTAGGTTCGATGATTCTCGATAACAAATTAACAGTTCTGATAAACCTAATTTTGTCTCGAGGCAAAAGAAGATTTTGACTTGATCTCAGCTTTTTTTTTTGGCAGATTTTTTTTGTTCAACAGAAATTTAAACTCGTCTTATAAAGATTACTTTCCGATAGTAAATGAGAGATTATATATTTATATAACTAAAAATTATCCCAAAAACAAAATACTTATTAATGTTATAAACAAATGGACTTCTAGTAACCGGTCCATTAACCATCAGGTTAATGTCTCATGGCCCATTAGGGTTTCTGATACATTAGTTATGTAATATATATATACACTGCTTATGGAAACAATAAGAAAAGAGTTTTTCCCTTAATACGTTATCAGCACGAAGCTCAACTTCAAACGATCATATCTCTCAAAATACAAGGAGTTAGAAAGCGATCTACATATCATTTTGAAGCCCTGGAAGAGAAGAATCTAGTGGTGAAAACCGCTCCTCAATCCGACACCAGACGCGCCCTCAAGACTCAAAAGAATCGGCGCTGTCCCACCTTAGCGGGTGATTCTTTCCAAGCGGTGGTTCCTCCATTGTAGCAGCTGTTCGTCCTCCCTTCTGGCCATCATTCTCAGGAGTTTCCAGTAGATATCTGTGGTCTTTAGCTCCCAGATCATAAGCCGGTCAGAAATCCATTTGGCGAAAAGGTATTATCTAAAACTATAGATCCTAATCAAAGTTTTGGTTTTTTTTTGAAAACCCTAATATGGATCGGTTCTTTTCATGATTCTTCATCGTCTTTTTCGTTTTTAAAACCATAACCAAACCGATCCTCTTTCTTCTTGTCAAAACCCTAATTGGTTTTATTTTTCCTAATCGGCTTTATCATATAAAACCTAAACCCTAATGCTTTGTTCAAACCCTATACCGATCGGTCCTAGCATCATCTAAACCAAACACTAAAATTCCTTGCAACCGAAACCTAAATCTTTGCAAAACCCTAGATCTAAAATCGTTTTGGTTTGTCTATCGTTAAACCGAGATCGATCGGTTTAAATCTTAAACCGATCGGTTATTTATCTTAGATCCGATCCTTGAAAACCCTAAAACTGGTCCATGCAAGCTCCTAAATCCTAAACCAATCGACCCCTCAAACTCTAAACCAATCGATCCACCTAAACCGTTTATAAACCGATAAATTCTAATCCTAAATCGATAGGGTTTAAGTTTAAACCGATCGGTTTTTCCTAATAAAAATTAAACCCTAGCAAATCCGTTTAGTTTAATCCCTTAACCGATTAATAACCCTAATAACCGGTTTCCAAAATTAAATCTAATTTAACCGGTTTTGTTGTTTAATCGATCAATCCGATCGGTTTAAGCTTGATCGGTTAATTTCAAATTAGTTTCCAAAATCAATTTAAAAAAAAAAAAAAAAAAAACCAATGTTTATCTATTAGAGCTAAATTTGGAAACACTATTAAACCGGCTAGGTTATAAACCCTAAGGTTCGATTTTAGAATTCCCTTATATAGCAAGTTTCCTAAAATAGCAAGTTTCTTGAAATGGAAAGTTTTCCCAAGAATACCTTAAATCCCTTATTCCAATGATCATAGTCTTATACTATTGATTATTTAACATAAATTATTATATGTTTCAGATGTCAAACATTCAGAAGGTCGAATATGAGGCACTCACTGTCTCCGGAGATAACTACCTCAAATGGGCCCTTGACACCAAGATCTACCTCAACTCAAAAAGTCTGGGTGAATGCATCAAAGATCCCAACACCGCGACTCAAACAGAACGGTACTCGGCGATATTTATTATCCGCCATCACCTCGCTGAGTCTCTCAAGCAACAATACCTCACTCTTGAGGATCCACTCGAACTTTGGGTGGCACTGAAAAAGCGATATGACCATCAGAAAACGGTCATACTGCCCCAAGCCAAGTTCGACTGGAAGAACCTACGGTTCGAAGATTTCAAATCCGTCGAAGAATTCAATTCCGAACTCTTTCGGATAGTTGCACTCATAAAACTATGTGGCGAGGAGGTCACTGATAAGGATATGCTAGAGAAAACATTCTCTACTTTTGGCACTCCCAATGTTGTTCTCCAACAACAATACCGTGCCATGAATCATAGCACCTATGAGGATTTGATATCTTGCTTACTGCTTGCTGAGAAGAACAATCAGCTTCTGTTGAGGAACAGTGCCATGCGGCCTCCAGGATCAGCCCCATTGCCAGAAGGAACCAGAAAAGAGTCCAACTTCGTCCAACGTAACAGATCCTCAGATCGTGGACGTGGACGTGGAAATGGACATGGACTGCGCGGCAGAGGACGCGGTAGACCGAACCAATATAACCGACCTAACCTCAGTTTTGGTTGGGGTAAGGGTCGTGGTATCAACAAACCGACCCAAAGAGGCAGTTCATCTAGACCAACTCCTTGCTCAAGATGCGGAATGACTAATCATTGGGTCAAGATCTGCCGTACTCCCAAATATCTTGCTGAGCTCTACCAGAAGTATGGGAAAGATAATCATGAGGCTAACCTGGTTCATCAAGTCAATGAAGATGACTCAAAGGATGATAAGATTGATGGCATGGATTATGAGCTCTCCGACCTCCTTGATTGATCTCAAAAATCTGAATTTGTTTTTCATTACTCCTTAAACTTTTATCTTTTGTTTTTTTTGGGATTTATTGTCTTTACTTTGGATTTTTAAGACCTTTTGCTTTTACATTTTAATTTATGGAGTAATGTTTTATTTACATCTCATTTTTGTATGTTATTGAATTATAATTCTTGTTTAATAAAGATATGCAAGACAATATGGATATCATTGTGGATAGTGGATCGAGCCACACCATTCTAAAAGACAAGAATTACTTCATAAATTTAGTAATCAAAACCGCAAACATTAGCACTATAGCGGGTAGTTCGAGCCTAATAGAGGGCCATGGCCAAGCTAATGTGCTGTTATCAAATGGCACATATCTAGACATCTCTGATGCCTTATACTCACCCAGTTCTAAGAGAAACCTATTGAGTTTCAAAGACATAAGATTGAATGGTTTCCATATCGAAACTCAGGATGAAGGGAACAAAGAGTTTTTAATTATCACTAAAATGATAAATGGCCATAAACAAGTTTTCGAAACTATACCCGCCGTATCTACTGGCATTTACCATGCTAAAGTCAGTATGATTGAGGCTAATGCTGCTATCAAAGCACGGTTTTTAGATTACACTATTTGGCATGATCGCCTGGGTCATCCCGGTGCGAACATGATGCGTAAATTAGTCCAGAATTCTAAAGGGCACAGCCTTAAACCAAATGGTATTTTCCCTCAGCACCTCAAGTGCACAGCTTGCTCACAAGGGAAACTGATTACCCGACCTTCACCAGTCAAAGTGTCTAAAGAGACCTTGAACTTTCTGGAAAGAATCCAAGGAGACATATGTGGACCAATTCACCCACCTTGTGGGACATTCAGATATTTCATGGTCCTCATTGACGCATCGACCCGCTGGTCGCATGTCTGTCTGCTCTCTTCTAGGAACCAGACTTTTGCTAGGTTATTGGCCCAAATCATCAGATTACGAGCCCATTTTCCAGACTTCCCATTAAAGACTATACGTCTTGATAATGATGGTGAATTCACTTCCCAAGCGTTTAATGAATATTGTATGTCCATGGGGGTAAGTGTTGAACATCCCGTTCCACATCCCGTTCCACATGTCCATACACAAAATGGATTAGCTGAATCCTTCATTAAACGAATTCAATGGGTTGCTAGACCATTACTCATGAGGTCACAACTCCCGGTCTCAGCTTGGGGACACGCAGTCTTACATGCCGCTGAACTAATACGCATACGACCATCTAGTGAGCACAAATATTCACCATCCCAATTGCTAACGGGTCATGAGCCAGACGTCTCCCATATTAAAACATTTGGGTGTTCAGTCTATGTACCCATTGCACCACCACAGAGGACTAAAATGGGACCTCAAAGGAGAATGGGAATATATGTTGGTTTTGATTCTCCCACCATCATAAAATATCTCGAGCCAACTACAGGAGATCTGTTTAAAGCCAGATATGCAGATTGCCGATTTGATGAATCGGTATATCCTAGATTAGGTGGTGAGACAGACAAGCTGGTAAAAGAACTTTCATGGAATCAAACATCCACACAATGGCAAGATCCTCGGACTCTAGAATGTGATTCAGAGGTCCAAAGAATTATACATTTACAAAAGCTAGCTAATCAATTGCCAGATTCCTTTGCTGACCCGAACAAAGTTACCAAATCGTACCAGCTTGTAATGCACCAGTACGAATAGATGTCCCCTCAGGGAAAAGTCAAGTTGCTACAGAGTCTGACGCACGTAAGAAACGTGGCAGACCACCAGGTTCCAAAGATAAGAATCCCCGGAAATCAAAGAAAGGTGCAATGATTGAAACCGGGATTCAAGAGAACACGGATACAGCCTCAGCTGATACTTACCCTATCGAACCATCTCAAGAGGTTTGGGATGCCAAAACTCAAGGTTCTGAAGGGATTGATAATAATGAGATCTCAATTAATTATATCATATTCGGTTCTCTATGGAACAGAAAAGATGTCGACATCAATGAAACTTTTGCATACAAGGTAGCACTTGAGATTGCGCACACGCAAGAGGATCTAGAACCCACGTTTATAATTGAGTGCACTCGTAGATCAGATTGGCTGAAATGGAAAGAAGCCATAAACGTGGAGTTGAATAGTTTAAAGAAACGGAATGTGTTTGGTCCGATCTTAAGGACACCATTCGATGTTAAACCAGTGGGAAACAAATGGGTCTTTGTGCGTAAAAGAAACGAACTCGGCGAAGTCGTTAGATACAAGGCCCGCCTTGTAGCACAAGGATTCTCACAGAGACCCGGAATCGATTATGAGGAGACTTATTCTCCAGTGGTGGATGCAACTACATTTCGATTCCTCATAAGTCTGGCCATAAGAGAAAACTTAGATTTGCGGTTAATGGATGTTGTAACCGCATATCTTTATGGACCACTGGACAGTGAAATCTATATGAGATTACCAGATGGTATTGAGCTCAAAGATAAGCATGCATCTCGTGATAAACACTGCATTAGGCTGAACAAATCCTTATATGGACTGAAACAAAGCGGACGTATGTGGTATAACCGGTTAAGTGAATATCTCATCAGAGAATGCTACGAAAACGATCCGATCAGTCCATGCATCTTCATCAGAAAATATCAAAACAAAGGATTTGTAATCATAGCAGTATACGTGGATGACTTGAACATCCTCGGAACATCTGGTGAAATCGCCCAAACAGGTGAATGCTTAAAAGCAGAGTTTGAAATGAAAGACCTAGGCAAAACTAAATTCTGTTTGGGATTACAACTTGAGTACGTCAATGACGGAATCCTTGTGCATCAATTGGCATACACTGAAAAGGTACTCAAGAGATTCAATATGGACCAGGCCCACCCATTGACCAGCCCAATGGTTGTGAGGAGCCTTGGATTGGATAGTGATCCATTCGGTCCAAAGAAGGACGATGAAGAAATCCTCGGTCCTGAAATGCCATACCTCAGTGCCATAGGAGCATTAATGTACTTGGCTAGTCACACTAGACCAGACATCTGCTTTGCCGTGAGCCTCTTAGCTCGCTTTAGTTCGTGTCCAACTCAAAGGCACTGGAACGGTATTAAGCACATCCTTAGATACCTTCAAGGTACTAAGGACTTGGGATTATTTTATTCTAACCATAACAAGGATGGTCTAGTTGGTTTTGCTGATGCAGGATATTTGTCAGATCCGCACTGTGCCCGGTCTCAAACCGGTTATGTTTTCACGCATGGAGGAACAGTCATATCTTGGAGATCCATGAAGCAGACTATTGCCGCTACCTCATCCAATCATGCGGAAATCTTGGCCATTCACGAAGCTAGTAGAGAGTGTGTTTGGTTGCGGTCCATGACTCAGCATATCCGATCAGATTGTGGTATGGACGAAGATAAGGAGCCTACGGTGATGTATGAAGCCAATGCAGCTTGTATCGCTCAACTCAAGGACGGCTACATCAAAGGTGACCGGACGAAGCGTATTCTGCCCAAATTCTTCTTCACTCATGAGCTACAGAAGGATGGTCAGGTCAAGGTTCAGCAAGTCCGATCAAGCGAAAATTCAGCCGATCTATTCACTAAATCATTACCGACTTCTACACTCCGGAAGCTCATTCATCAGATAGGAATGCGTAGACTTAGAGATCTACAGTGATGCCTAAACCAGGGGGAGTAATGCGTGTTGTACTCTTTTTCCTTCACCATGGTTTTTCCCACTGGGTTTTCCTGGTAAGGTTTTAATGAGGCAACGTTCCCCAGCGCATTATAGAGATCCCGGTTTTGTGACAGGTACGGTTACATTGTCCAAGGGGGAGTGTTATAAACAAATGGACTTTTATTAACCGGCCCATTAACCATCAGGTTAATGTCTCATGGCCCATTAAAGTTTCTGATACATTAGTTATGTAATGTATATATACACTGCTTATGGAAACAATAAAAAAAGAGTTTTTCCCTTAATAATTAAGACAATAGAATAATATTCAGCAATAATGTGACTTGTAATTACGACTTTTTGGTTAAACTTGAAAAATACAGTAAAATCCTCCAACAATAAAATATAATTTATCAAAAAGAAACAAGAAAATCTTGTTGATTGAATTAAAAATACAATAATAACTTTAACAAATTTATCAACATCACAAATGGATAACGCCATTAATGAAAAAACCAGCATTGTTTTACTTAACTTTAGGGTTGTCCTCTAACGTGACTAACGATCTGATAATGCCTGGAGGAATACTATCACCAAGAGTCCTAAGTTCTGATAAGCAAAGAGTCTTTTCCTTCATTAAGCTCTGCAATTTCCTCGCTTCAAACTCCATTTTCTTTCCATCTATAACAGTAACACAGTATACCATTTTCCCATGAGACTAGTATATTAACATTTGAGAAAGAAAGTAGCAAAACCCGTAGAGAAGACAAACCTTTCTCTAGCATTGTATGCACAACATGAAACGGTACTGCAGCGAAAAGATCAGCTCCTGGGAGAATCATCCAAGTGGGTTCGTTAGAGCAATGTGACCCACATGTCGAGCAAATTTCTTTGACCACAGGTTGTTTCGCTGAGCTCCCACGGACATCTTTCATCATAGAATCGAAAGGAAAAGGAACACTAGTCTTTGTTGTCTGAGCTCTCTTCGTAAGTGCTGTAAGAGCCTCTCTGTTCACATTCCTCTCCCTGTCATTCTCCACCATCTATATTACAAATTCCACTTGGTTAAAACCCAGTTGATTTCTCGCAAGACAAATTCAAAACTACCAAGATTGTTTATTGTGCTACTCAGAAATCAATATGAAATATGAAGCAATGAATATTTCCAACATGATGATACCGAACAGATTTCAGAGTACCTGATATTTAGCTAGTAGAACCTTATCAGCTTCAGCTTCAATTTTTTCCAATAGCTCAACATACTTCTTTGGATTGAGCTCCATCTTGGTCTACCCGATTCCGACAATCAACAAGGCTAGGAACAGCTAAAACAACATACAATTTAATGTCATAATACCCTCGCAAAATAACTGTTGATCAAATAGAGCATTCTGGTTTGAAAAAGAACAAAGAAAAATATTTTTGATAAGGAATATAGTCAATTTTCCTAATCTTGATAATCTCGATATTAACCTAAAAAAACGAGAACCTATTGGATGCTTGCGTGCTTAAGCTCAATTTCAAATCGAAGACTCTCATTAGACCCATCATCCCAAAACCTTCATTACCGTTTCAAATTTTTTGTTATATGAAGTGATTATTGCATTCCACAATATTTCTGTCGATTTCTATGTGCAAAACCAATCTGGATGAGATAATTGTCTCGTTTTCCTTAGGTTCGATGATTCTCGATAACAAATTAACAATTCTGATAAACCTAAGACTTGAACCCTGAATCTTAACCTTGTATCTTGAATCACGAAATCGCATTCCTATGAAAACGAAGCCACACACAACACCAACATAAAACTCATAAACAATTTGAGGACAGTTTAATCCACCCAACAAACCTCGGAAAAAAATGTGGGTAAAATTCTCTGTAACTCATATGCAGCATCTTAACAAGTGAGCAAAACAAAGTTTCAAAGAAATTAAAAAACGAAAAACCAACCTTTGAATGAATGGATTTATAGACGAAGAAAGACCAGAAAAATATCTCGTCGACGCTGTCTGGGAAGGAAAGAAAAAAAATAGATATGGATTTGTATAACACAATACAGATATCGAATTAATGTTTATGTGCTTTGTTCTAATACGGGCACAAACGGTATCAAATTATATTGGTCGACAAAATTATACTGTAATTATTAAAAAAAAATAGATTTTTTCATTGAAAAATATATGGTAGATCCGTTCACTTGGTTTAATTTATTACTAGATTTTAATTTCGTGCATCCGCACGGGAATATTTTTTTATTGTTTCACGAATTTTGTAATATAATTTGTGTTTTTGAGTTTAGATATAATTATTTTTATAAATATATTTTTTAATAAATGAAAATATTGATTTTTGTGTTTAGATATATTTTTGTAGTATTAAAATTAATTATGATTATAAAAATATAATTTTAACCGGCCGCTAATATTAATTCAAAATGAACTATTATAAAAACATAATTCTAACTTTTCCGTTCATATTACCATATAATATAAATATTTGTTAAAAATTTGAAATGTATTAACAGTATTATTTAGCATTATAGTTTTCTAAAATTTAATCAACGAAGAGAGTGTACAATTGGTTTTTCAAACCACATTATAGTGTATGCAATAATTTTTAATTTTTTATGTTTTGATTTTGTATGAAAAATATATTTTCGATATACATGTATAATTCAAAATTAGTGATTTTAGTTACCAAAATATTTTTAATCCGGTTTTTTTTATATGTATTTTTAGTTCTATGAATTTTAAATATATATTTTTAATATTTAAATTATACATTTGAATTTTACCTATTATTTTATTATTAATTTGTAAATAAATCATAATCGTAAATATATTATATAAGCAACAAAAATATCATATCATTTACATCATTATAAATATTTTATATTTCAAATATGACCATTATTTTTCATATGGGAATTTTTTTTTTCAAAAATTCTAAATATTTTTGATAAAAATGTTTAATAGTATAGAAATTATTTAAATTAGAATCTTTAAATCAAATCTAAATTAATATCTGATTTATTATTTTTAATCAAATCAAATCTAAATTACCTATATTTAAAGAACTCTAAAAATATTTAAATTAATAACTAATTTTCGAAATTAAATATAAATAATTATTAAAAATATTTTTAAACATTTAAAAAAAATTAGGAGTGTTTGGAAACAAGTACTATATAGGCCTGGACATTCGGTTCGGCGGGTCGGTTCCGGGTTAAAACCGACCGGGTTCAGTTCTTTCGGTTATTAATTTTTGGACCCATTTGAGAACCGATAAATTTCGGTTCGGTTTCGGGCCGGTTCTGACCTGTTACGGGTCGGTTCGGACTTAAATTATTAGAACCGAATTATAACCGAAAATCAAGGATAACCGTTCGGATCGGTTTTTTGTTGGACCCGAACCGAAAATTAAACCGAAATTAGCTATTAAACCCGAATTTTTTTTAAAAAAAACTGAAACTGCTTAAAAAATTTGAAGTTCTCAATAGTTAAAAGTGCATAACTGAAACGTAATACTGAATAAAGTTTTAAAACTTGAACAAATCATAAAACCAAATCAAAATCCTAAAACATAAGAACTTAAAATCCTAAAAAGTAGAGATCACTAGGCATTGCAAGAGTCTTTGGGTCGTATTCATATCTTAGCACTTGAAAAGTTGAGCTTCAAGACTTGAGCGTGAACACCTACAGCATATACAAAGACACAAAGATACAAATCAGTAAACAAATGGCCACAAATTTACAAAAACGCAAGCATGAGCTATTCACCTATTCCCAAATGCAGTCATCACTTATCAATATGCAATGTTTACCACCTTACCTTTTGTTTTCCAAGTTCACAAAGACACAAACACGACATCAGCAGCCTCAGCCTCTTTGTATGTTGACTTCAGGATCATTTTCTACATAAAAAAAGAAAGAATAATGATGTTATAAGCCGAAACTGATAATCAAAGACAAAGAGATAAATCAAAAAGATGTAACTTACGCCTCATGAGTTCATCTTCAAGCTCCACATCTGCAAGCAATTGTTCACAAGTTGAGACTCCTCTTTCATTGATATGAATCTCAGTTTTTAACCACTGTTCAGTACACATCAACACCTCAACCATATAGTGGGTCAAACAACTTCGGTATGGGCTTAACACTCTCCCACTTGTGCTAAATGCAGATTCAGAGGCAACTGATGACACTTTCATTGCAAGTATGTCTTTCGCAATGAGTGAAAGAACAGGGAACTTGCCACTATTTCTCATCCACCAACCTAAGATATCATACTCTGTTCCCTTCATCACTTTTGGTTTGTCAACAGCCTCTTTCAGATAGATCTCTAGCTCATTTGTTGAATCGCCAACTCCTGTTTCTTCTACAAGCTCATCGTAAATGCTGTCCATGCGTTTATACCCAACACCATGACTCAGAAGACCTCTTTCAAAAACATCACCTCCATTTTGCTCTTGAGACTGCGAAAATGTCCCTTGGGACTGAGAAGAAGATGGTCCCTGTGATCCACTAGAACTATTCCTGTCTACTAAGCTACTGTACTCAGCAAACAAACTCTTCAAAATGTCCTCTATAGAATCATAAAGCTGGTTCGCTGCGTGACTATTCTTTCCATATAGAGACTCGAAACATAGTTGGGCAAACTTCATCTTCTTTCGTGGATCAAAAACACTAGCCACTATCACAAGCCTATTCATTTCATTCTTCTCCCTAAAAGGATCCCAATACTTCTCTAGTTTACCAATCATAGCTAAAGCTTTACTCTTTAAAGAGTCATCGGCTACAGGAGAAGTACTAATAACACTAATGTTTGACGTGATAGTGACTATTTCATTATAAACTTTGTGTGCAGCCACAGATGTAAAAGCTGATAGAATCAAAGTAGATTTGTAGAAAATAACAAGGAATTGAACCAACCTGTCAACTTTATCCCAATTGCTTGTAGTTGGTGGTCCAATCCGTTTTTTTCCTTCTACTTGTTCCAGAAAGTGGTCACCATAAGGTTTGTCTTCAGCCTCCATCCTCTCAAAAGCCAACCTGAACTTTAAAGCCTGTTCCAGCATGAGACAAGTAGAATTCCATCTGATCTTCACGTCTAAAGGCAAGCTTCCTCTAGTCATCTTTCCTGTCTCTACTCGAAACTCAAAAGACTTAACTCTGTTTATAGAAGATCGGACATAATGAATTGCATTCCTAATAGCAACAATACTATCATCTTCTTCTGCCAAACCATCCTTCACGATAAGGTTCAAAATATGTGTTGCACACCTTAGATGCAGGTACTTACCGTTAAGAACCAATGCATCATCGCCTTGTTGCATAAATGCTTCCTTGAATCTCCTCATTGCCGAGCTGTTAGCTGTTGCATTGTCCACAGTAATTGTAAACACTCTTTTAATCTCCCACTCAGCCAAAACCTCCAGCAGAACATTGCAAATCGTTGATCCTGTATGATCAGAAACGTTCTTGAACCCTATGATCATCTTCCTTAATCTCCAAGATGCATCAATAAAATGGGCTGTAACCACCATGTAACTCGTACTAGTATATGGAGCAGTCCATATATCTGTTGTCAGCGACAGTCTCTGCTTGTTGTCCCCAAGAATCTTCTTCATTTTCTCCTTTCGTGCAACATACATTGCCACAATATCTCTTGTAGCTGTTCTCCGGGACTGAGGAGTGTGCAGTTTACATTTCGAAGTGAAATGCCTCCAAGCAACACTCTCTAACGCTATTGGCAACTCCCCTAAAACAAGCATCTCAGATGAAGCCTCTCTAAAGACAAGTTCAGAGACTTTACCTAAACCCAGCATCCCATCTTCACCGGTAGGAGATAACACTGTCTGGCTCATGTCTTTGTTTGCAGCCTTCCATGCTCGGTATGACTTGCAACCAAAAACGATGTGCTTCTTCAGACTAGAAGTCCCTGACTTGGTTGGACAGGACATTTCACGGCCACAGTAGTTACAATTACATTTATCATAATTTTTCTTCTGCCTGGTGTAGTGTTCCCACATCTTCGACCTTGTCTTCTTTGTACCCTTAGAACCAGAACATTCAGAAGCAGACTCTTTCCTCTTGCCTGTCTTCCGAGTACAAGGAGTTTCAACATCTTCATATGTGTCATCAAGGACATCGTCAATGTCATGCATTGGAATATCAGTGCTCAGTGGATTTTCAGAAGAGGCCATCTGCGAAAGTTTAGAACAACAAATCAATAAACGTTTTAACTGAAACTTCATACAAGTTTCAAAGTTCAACTTCAACAGATCAATCTCTAAAGCTTCAGCAGTTCAGCTAAGTAACTATAACACTAATGTATCACAGAACAGAACACAATGAAGCAATCACCAAACAAAACCAACATCAACTTACTTGAGTTCTTAAGTTCATTTAGAAGTGTCTATCATCTGCTATATATGTTTGTGCAATAATATCAGCGGTTGACATTCATACAAGTTAACAAAACCTCACATGATCACATTCAGTCGACAAGTTAGCAAAACATCAAGCCAAAAAAACACCACATCATTCGCAGAAATATAACATTCGGTCGACAGATATAAGATCACTGATTCAGTGAAATTCATCCAAGTTAACAAAACCTCACAATCTCACATTCATTCGACAAGTTTAGCAAAGCATCAATGATCAATCAAAGAAAAAAAACACCACATCAGTCGCCAAAAAAAACCTCACAAATCACAATCTAACATTAACAGAAATGTGAAAAAACACCAACCACACACAGAAAAAGACGACTGAAACGTGAATCAATTGAAGGAGATTTACCTCAGAGTTATTTCTCGACGATGCAGTTGATGGAGATGGAGATTGCGAAGAGAAGGCAGCTAGGGATTCCAGTTTTGTAGTTGGGGCTTGGAAATTGAGGTTGCTTTTATAATTCGATCGATCGAGACGATATTGGGAAGTAGATTGTGTTGCGAGATCGTCGGTGAGGTGGGAAGATTCAGCAATATTCTCGGATGGATTGAATTTTGAAAATGCAGAGAAAAATCGAGAGAAGTTTGGGGAAAATCAAATCAAAAGAGGAAACTTCGGGTACACTATCGGGTCTATCCATAGAACCGGATCCGAACCATTACCCACGGGTCGACAGAACAAGATCCAACGGGTAATTAGGTCAAATCCAAATCCGATCCGAACCATGATTATCAGGTCGGTTCCAGGCGGGTTTTCCGGTCCGGTTAATATGCCTAGCCCTAGTACTAAATGTGCTTCTGTTTTAATATAATAGATATCATTGATTTTGCTTTTTCGATTTTGTTTTTTTCGATGCCATTTAATTTATTTTATCATCTTCAATTGATTTACTTTTTTATTCGATGGCTTACCTGAACGTAGGGCTGGAACGGAGCCGGATATCCGGACTTTTCAAAGTATCCGAATCCGGCTCCGGATTTGACGGATAATCAATTTTATTATCCGAATCCGGATCCGAAAACTCCGGATATCCGGAGACCGAATATCCGGTTTGAACCGAAGATTTACGGATATCCGACCGGATATCCGGTTTCGTTGATTTAAAAAAAAAACTTCAATTTTTAAAATTATAATGAGATAACATATATAATTAAAATGTATCATTATAGCAAAAATTACAAATACCAAAAATTTAAAAGCATTCAAGTAGCATTCAAATAACACAGTTTAAAAATTTACATAGCAAAAGAGAAAATAGTAATAGAGAAGTTAATTTATCTTCATATCCTTGTGTTATCTATTTTCATGGTCTTCTCTCACAATCTGAAATAAAAAATTAATCATGCAATATAAATTTCAATAATGTGTAAAAGAGTTAAACCAAAAACAATTTTCAAACATAATTAAACCAAAAAATTAAATGCATATCCAAAGATTTCAAAATTTTCAAAATCTTAATAAACGGATAACGGATAACGGATATCCGAGTTTAAAATTTTCTATTATCCGGATCTGTATCCGAAATAACCGAATACTTAATTTCACTATCCGGATCCGGATCCGAACTACACGAATATCCGTTTTTACGGATCGGATAGGATCGGATAGCGGATACCGGATAATAATTCCAGCCCTACCTGAACGACCAACTAGTTGCGGATCCGACGCAACTTTAAGCGGGTCAGCTTTGGCGGATACCGATTTTTTAAATCGGTGACTTATTTAAGAATCAGAGATTTATTAATATTATACAGGCCCAACAGAAATTGCTTCTAGTCTCCACAGGTTCCTGGCATAGGACAATCGATGCTTGCTCCCGTGTTCCATGTTTTCACAGTCTTCAATAAAAATGCGATTGTGAATCGTTAGCCACACAAGGAATGAATATTTAGGAGTTGAATGGGTGAACCATACACCCTTATGCCAAGACATCTCCATAATGAGAAGCCATGTGTTGAAAGTCAGCTTGTAGGAATTGAAATTATTCATGATTAAACATTTATCATGATCAAACCCATTTAAGGAAGAGGAATTGAAAGTATCCATGATTAATCGTTTCCTTTGCTACACTGCATCGAGGACAACAATTATCACATCTAATTTCTTCTTAATGAAGCCTAATACATTGTTACGAACCGACTTGCCAAATAAAAATGTTTAGTCTTTCAAGGACACTTTAGTTTCCAAGGCTACAATTTTAGATGTAGTGTTATCAAAATGTATACAATATATATAATTCAAATGTACTGTTCTCAAAATCAAACAAGAGAGGATAACGGAGGCTAAACTGATCGTTTTGATACAGACAAGACACGAGTAGAGAATGCTTCTGACGGTTGAGTTGTTGTTCAGTGACGGTAAGTCTTAACGACCTGATCTATTCGTCTCCGGCAAAGTGGACAGCTGGTCAAGTGGCAAGAGCATGCGGTGCAGCAGCACATATGACCACACCTGTGAGAGTACCAACCACACAAAGGTTCGTTTTAGCAAAGTCGCAAATGCAGAAGTTAAGCCAAAAGAAGCGGAAGAATGCTTACGGGACAAACACAGCGTTGTACTCCTGCTCTAGGCAGATCACACATAGATCAGGAACAGCGTCTTCTTTCTTGGTAGAATCTGAAACGCTCTCATGTGTCCCGTTTGAGCCTGATGACAAGAGTTCTGTTAGTCAGAGCCAGTGCAACCAATATGTAGAGTAAGATTCACCAATGGATATACCTTCACTCTCTCGCTCAGCTCTCTTAGCTGCTGCATCAAGCACTCTGCAACAACAGCTGACACTGCTTAATTTTGTGTTTAGATAAATTCATTTTAAGGGAATCTGCTTTAGAACTCATATACTCTCGAGGACGACTATTCACTTTCTAGACTGACAAATCTGTGACAAACCTTTTCTGTAACTCTCGCCGTCGTCTTCTCTCTAGAACAGAATCAATAACATGTTTTGTTATTAGAAACACACCAAAAACAGTTAAACCCATGGAGGCGTACTTGTACCACCTGCAAATTAGACTCTTATCATTCAGTTTGGCTCGTTTTTCTGCAAGAGTATAAGAGAAGAACCAAGAGGGGAGAGTGAGACGACCTTGACCATTTTCCCAAATTAGAAATGAGCTGATCGAGTGATTTAGGAGAGACGTAGAAAGGCCCCCTTTCAGGTTTCTGAATCCGTAAATCACCAATATCGTCCTTGACAGCCTATCATACATGGTAGCAACAGAAATTAGATTTAAGGTACAAAGAACGATCCAGCTTCTTTAACAGGAATTTTAAGAAATTTTCCAAAAGGCAAATTCCAACCAGTGAAGGAGTTAGTAAGCCATTTATCTATCAACTGATACAACTTAAGCAAAGTATATGAAACGAAAACAATGAGAATACAACAGACCTCACCAACAATTGTTAGCGGCATTCCAGTTGGAAGAACGCGCTCAATGCGTTTTACTCCAAGCATCTGAAACAAAATGATTGGCTGCTTAAGCAAACAGAGAGGCTATCAAATAAAGAACCAGAAAGAAAAGCGAAAACCTTGAGGCCTTGAAGATAATCAAGTGTTCCTCGTACAAGCGAACGCCCTGACTCTTCAAATACTTCACTTCCAACAGTCAAGGCAAATCCTGTTGCACCACGAGCTCCCACCACATTGACACGACTTGTCCCATCGTCCTATTTTGCAAACAAGTTTTGGAATTTTACGAATTGGTTTTTAAGAAACATCCAGTCACAGCTGAAAAAAACAAATATAATTGACTTACCAGAAACCAAGGAACCTCCTTACTCATTGACAGCATCAATGCACTATCTTGTACCCAAGAACCCGTCTCATTGTGTTTCAGAAAATGTTGTTCCGCCTGAAATCACCATGTAACTGATGAAAAAAACGCAAAAACAGACCAGGTTCCATGCCTAAATCTTAATTATCAGTCTACACATACCGTTTCCTCGACGATAACACCGCGTATGCCACTATGCTCACACTTGATAGGTGTCTCAGAGCCAACTCTTCCTGATACCGCCACAATGAAAGGCAGGAGCTTGCTGCTATCTAACTCTAGCAATTGCGCTGCCAAATACAGAGCAATCCGGAAACAACATCAAGAATCACTGATCAGAAGACAGAAAACAAAGAGATAGAGAGTAGAAGAAGCAATTTGGCGAGATAATTACCTAATTCCTTAAGCTGGCTAACCCGAGTGACGGTTTTGAGTACTTCAGCATCCCTGCAATCGAAGGATGATAAGAAGGGATTTGATTTATATTCTACACTTTTTGGGGACAATGAAATCAATGGAGATTGAACGAAAGTAAGAAAATCACAAACCTGCCACTACTCCGGCCGAGAAGATAAAGAGCGGCAGCGCTCAGGCAGCAGGTAACTCCACCCCAAGGAATCATTTTCTTCTTCTTCTTCTCTAAAGAGAGAGAGATTGAATTTTGAAGTCACTCTTATTTGTTTGAAGAAGAATAATGCCTCTCCAGATGATGAGCAGAGAGATAGGATTCAAATTAAGCAGCGAATTTAATTTTTATTGAATGTATTGTTCGGATCTGGACAGATGAAATTAAAAAAAAATAGGGTCTAGGAGCAAACGAAGCTTGATTAATACATAGAGCATTGAAACATGATCGTGATTATCTCCGCTAAGAATCAGACAGTGATGGAGTTATCGATTATTCGGGGCGTTCGGTGATTGTCGTTGGATCTGCGAATCGATGGAAGACGTAAATTTCGAAGAAAAAGTTCAGATTATTGTAATTGGATGATCTTTTGTTTGATCTCTCTCATATTCTCAAGCTCAGGGTTTGGGGAAGAAGATGATAAAAGACAGAAACAAGGAAGCTGATGACGTGGCTATTTCTAAAAGATTCAATGAGCCTAAATGTTTTTTTCATGTTTAAGCCCAACGTGATATTGAGCTTCTGAATGGTTGGATTACAAGTATGGAATGAATTTTTGCTGCTTTTGTTTTTGTTTTAATCTTCTTTGAATTTGTGAAACTCTAGTGAACATCCTACATTTCATATAAGTTCTGTGTTCGTAACTTACTAAATACTATTATTATATCTTTCATTATGTTTATTAGTCTTTCTGTCCATCCAATTCGCAAAAGAAAATTAGTAAGTTCATGATGATCCACAACTTGATGATTACTACATATATATGACGACTATTTGCTGCATTTCCACCAGAATCTTTTCCATATCGAAACTCTATAAAATAAAATAAAAAAATAATCATTTTACCCAAAAAAAAACTCTGTAAAATAATGTGGCATAACTCTTTATTCAATAAATGTTTTCACATAGCATCACACGGTAAGATCTTACTCATACTTTTTCAATATGGTCAGAACTTTTTAAATTTACCGGTATAATAACTATATGGACATAAATATTTTAAAACCATCTCTAAACTTTTTTTTGACCATTTTCTTCGAATAAATTTTTACACGTATACATCTACTTTTTGTAATTCATATACATCACCACACAAAGATATATTCACTCTATAATACATTTTTGTGTTTTTAGAAAAGATTTGCTTTATAAAAAAAAAAAAAACCAAGTTCTGAAAAGATGGGTATTTATAAACAAAATATTAACATAACTTATATGCAGCATCTTAACAAGTGAGCAAGACAAAGTTTTAAAGAAAGAAAAAAGCGAAAAACCAATTTTTGAATAGATTTACAGAAAGAAAATGAAGACTACAGAAATATCTCATTGACGCTGTCTAGGAAGGGAAGAAAGAAAACAAATATGGATTTGTATAACACAATATAAGCATCAAATTAATGATTGTGTGCTGATTTCTAATACGGGCCAGACCCAATAGTTAAAATCACAAACTCCCAGATGTGGTTCATTCACAAGCAGAACATCTATCATGTAATTTGCCATTCACACATAAATTATAATCTGCTTTTTTCGTCAATTGAAAAAATCAATAATTAAAAAATCAATAATAATCATAGTTTTATTTGTACCCATGTGGATCATATTTTGTGAGTCAAAAGTAAGATCTGCCATCAACGGTAATTCAACGATAATTCTCGAAACAAATTAACAATTCTGATAAACCTAAGACTTGAACCCTGAATCTTAACCTTGTATTTTGAATCACGAAATCGCATTCCTATGAAAACGAAGCCACACACAACACCAACATAAAACTCATAAACAATTTGATGACAGTTTAAACCACCCAACAAACCTCAGAAAAAAATGTGGGTAGAATTCTCTGTAACTCATATACAGCATCTTAACAAGTGAGCAAAACAAAGTTTCAAAGAAATTAAAAAACGAAAAACCAACCTTTGAATGAATGGATTTATAGACGAAGAAAGACCAGAAAAATATCTCGTCGACGCTGTCTGGGAAGGAAAGAAAAAAAATAGATATGGATTTGTATAACACAATATAGATATCGAATTAATGTTTATGTGCTTTGTTCTAATACGGGCACAAACGGTATCAAATTATATTGGTCGACAAAATTATACTATAATTATTAAAAAAAATAGATTTTTTCATTGAAAAATATATGGTAAATCCGTTCACTTGGTTTAATTTATTTATCATTGATTTTGCTTTTTCGATTTTGTTTTTTTTCGATGGCATTTAATTTATTTTATCATCTTCAATTGATTTACTTTTTTATTCGACGGCTTACCTGAACGACCAACTAGTTGCGGATCCGACGCAACTCTAAGCAGGAGTCAGCTTTGGCGGATACCGATTTTTTAAATCGGTGACATATTTATGAATCAGAGAATTATTATTATCATAAAGGCCCAACAGAATTTCGGGCCCCCTATATTGCTGAATGGAAGACAGATGAATAGGGGATGGAGACTCTTATATATAGTGTAGCTTCCTCTTCTCAATTATCCAAGTTTGTCGATGTGGGACAATAAAAAAACCTAATTTTTAAAAAATGTCATGGATATTTATCATTTTATAAAAGTGTTGGTGTGTGAATGGTAAAAGTGTGTGAATGCTTAATCATTTTTGTACTCTTTTTCAAACTTAAATGACCACCACTTATTCATATATATGGTTGTGTTTTTGTGTAAATTGCTTCAAGTCTTGACGTAAAGAACAACGAAACCTTCATATATCTTTTTTCATTTAAAGTTTACCATCCCATAATGTTTTTAGCTTTCGGAAAAAATTTACCTCCATATAGCAAATTTGTGTAAGGGGAAATTTTATCTATGACGAGAACATGAATTTTCCATTGCCATTATGTCGGAGACTCGGAGTCAAGGAAAGCTTGTATGAAAGCTTCTAATTTTTTTTTTTTTTTCTAAACTGTAAATATCATTAGGAATGAAAGTTTGGGGGTAATACAGATTATGTAAAACTACCTAAAAGCTTGTTACCTTGGCAAAAAAGAAATAAAAAACAAGGGAACAAAAGAGATTGAGAATCATATATAATGAAACTCATTTGAGCCAAAGAGGCATCATAACGCCGAAGTATTTCCTCTGTCGTCTTGTCGTAATGATGTTTCTAACCAGTTTGTCAATTTCCTTGAATATGGAAGCAGCTGGGATAGACTGAAGGTTATGAAGGACATTATTGCGTTGTCTCCATAAGCAGTAAATTGCAGCATGCGCTGATATTTTTCTAAGGATTTTAGGAGCGCTTTTTGTCGATGTTCTCATCCAAGAGAGAAGCTCATCCCAAGAGAGGAAAAAATGATGTCGGAGATTCAGACGCGACTGGATTGATCTCCAAATTTCAGAGCTGTAGTCACAAGTGAGAAACAGATGATCTCTGTTCTCAGCTACTGCAGAACATAAACAACAGTCAGTAGGTACAGACATACCCCAAGAAGCAAGTCTAATACGAGTTGGAAGCCTGTTGAGTTGAGCAATCCACATAAGAAAAGCGTGCTTAGGGATTGCTCCCTTAAACCAGATCGAATTGAACCAGCTTTTGGTCGGTTGACATGGTCTGAGCGAACTCCACGTATGAGCGGCTGAAAAACCATTGCACTTTTTCCCATCAACAACCCAACTGAAGACATCTTCTTCCACAGAGTTAGAAGGGAGGGCCATGGCGGTTAGTTGGATGTGAATACTGAGCGCTTGATCAAATCTAGGGGATGGAATAATCCAGCCGATACCATTACAAGCAGCAGAAACAGGAGCGTGCCTTGGAATATGAAAGGAGGATGGTCCTGATTCTCCCGTGAGTTTAATAAGAGGTCCTAAAGGAGACCAACTATCAAATCGCAGTTGGAAAACAGCAACCAGACGAGTCTCAGGCAGAGAGTTTAATTCCAATGTGAAAAGCTCCTAAGGCCAAGACCACCTTCATCCTTAGGGTAGCAAACTGATTTCCAGGCTACCTTTGCCCCTCCTGATTTATCTATGTCGCCAGACCACAGAAATCTCGCACATAGAGATTTAATAAGCCTTGAGAACACCTCCAACAAAAAGATAAGGGGATAGTGAATCCCCTTGACGCAAGCCTCTGGAATTTTTGAAGAAACCACCCGTGATCCCATTCAGAGAGATAGAGAAGGTAGCTGTAGTTATGCATTGAGAAATCCAGTTGACAAAGATATCCGGAAGGCCAATTGCTTTTAGAGTTGCCAAAATGAAATCCCATTTCAAAGTGTCAAAAGCTTTTCGAAGATCCACTTTAAGCATGCCTCTTGGCTTGTTGTTTTTTCTGTTATATCCATGGGCTATTTCTGTTGCTAATATAACGTTTTCGGCGAGGAGTCTACCCGGCATAAAGGCGGATTGAGAATTACCAATAACAGAGCACAAAATTCTCTGAAGCCTGCTTGCCAACAGCTTTGACACAAGCTTATAGATAGTGTTTGGCAAAGAGATTGGCCTGAAATCAGAAGTCTTAGAGGCGTATGGGATTTTTGAAATAAGCACCAAAATTGTTGAATTCCACTGTTTAAGCATCTGACCCGAGCTGAAAAACTCCTTCACGGCTTCTGTTACTTCCACTCCGACGACATCCCAACAACCCTTAAAAAACTCAGCAGAAAATCCATCAGGACCGCTACATTTATTACTAGGGAGGGAGAAGAAAGCTTCTTTGATTTCTTCATTGGTGAAAAGTTTCTCTCACAGAGGCTGGGTTAAGCACAATTTCGACAGAGGAATGATCTGAGAAACTCGGTTCTCCAAACAGTCCGTAGGACAAAGGGAAATTGATGTACCACTCATCATTCACCAATATTCTATCAAGCTTTTTAGCGACTGGAGCGTTTATTTCTCTTGTTCCACCAAGTATAAGAATTACCTCTGAAGGTGAGATCGCGTAGAGAGGCATCGGTCAAGCTGCTTTGGAAGATCCTTGTTGCGAGATCTATATTTAGGCTTTGAGGAGAACAGTGATCCGAAGGGGATAACACCTGGTTGAAATCACCAAGAACAGACCAAGCTTTGCCCTGAATTCTTGGATTTGTTGATAAAGCAACAAGCTCTTCCCAAAGACAGTGCCTTTTGGCCTCAACGTTTGAGGCATAAGCAAAAGATACAATGATCGGATCTGGGTAACCAGGCAATACAGCTTCACACGTCACCAACTGAAGGGATTTGGAGATGATTTTTACCTGAACACTAGGATGCCACAAGATCCAAATTTGAGAAATTATAGTTTTCTTCGAAAAACCAGCCTGGAAGAAGATCGTTTATAAATTTCTTCTGCTTTGGCTGCTTCACATGAGTCTCAAGAAGACTCCCAAAAATTGTCGTATTCGCCTTATACCACTTCTTAAAACCTCTCCGATGACTAGATATATTGAACCCCCTAACATTCCAGCAAAAAATTTCTGTACACATATATATATAGATTACTGATTTTTGGGACCCTTGTCCCCGGATACGTCTGAGCTGTCTCTTCGACTATACCTCAGTGAATTCCTCTTTGTTTTTGATTCGGTCATCTCCGTCTGCATCACTTGCGATGAAGTTATGCCTTTTTTAAAAGAAAAATTATCCATATATATCATATTAATTAGTGAATATGACTATATGAGTAGAGAGAAACCAATATATTGTCTTGCATGCATTAATCTTTCTAAAACATTTTCTCAAACTTAAAAGGACCACCACTTATGGAATTGAAAATATGGTTGTAGATTTTTGCAAATTGCTGAAAGTCTTCAATATTATTTTCATTGTGAAATTTCGTCTGTCATAACGCGTTTGCCTACTACATACACGGAAGGATCCTTTTCTTTTCTTTTTGGATTTTTCGTTTATTTCGCTCTCCACAAAACACATTAACTTTAAAATATATGATTAGAAGAGTATCAGCGCATACAAGCGGGTTGTTTTTTTTTCTAGTTATGTTTTTTAATCAATGTCTTCATTTAGTAGTTTAGAAAAATGCTTTTACCATTCTCGTTTTGTTACAAAGAAGTTTCTAGTAAGAGAATTCAGTGTTTGTTTAAATCAGCACCACAGTTTTTATATACTTTAAAAGAGTAAAATTTAACTAACTTGAGTGGAGAACTAACGAATAATATTAGTAGTATTTCCTCTATTCAACGAAATAAATCCCTCATCCTTAATTGTCCAGCGAAAATTGTCACCAATACCCTTGTAGGAATCAGAGAATCTGCTAGCTTTGCACATCTCATCCTAGTTTTAAATTTAAAACTTGACACGTTCAATAGGAGCAGCATCAATATTTGCTACAACAGCAGAAACACTACCTATATTTACATTTTTCTCTACCATTATCCACACCGATTAAGTTCTATTTCCATCATCACCATTTCCAAATATCATTACCACATAATTAACGCATATCATCTGCACTTGAACTCTTTTACAGTTTTCCTAAGTAATTAAGTAAAATCTTTACAATTGTCTCATTTAAGTGATTTAAAAAAACAAAATGGTAATAGTAAATATTTATTTCAGGTATTACTAAAATTTGGATATAACTAAGTGAACATTTTATCAAGTTAAATGGTTTTGCCCTTCTTTACACAACTATGCTTTCCTAAGTGTCAGTTACACATGCCTAAATGGATTTCTAGCTTGGTTGCCAACAGTAGGAGGCTTTATGCTCAAATCAGAAATCAGAGGATGGGATTTTGACGATGATGACAAGTTTTAGCATTATGAGTTGCAAATTCCAGCTTAATCCACCATCTATCCATCAAAATTTCCTCGTATGATGCCATAAAACATGCAAATTTCTAATATATGGAATATTAAGAATAAGATGAAATCTAAAAAACTTATGGTTCCAATCTTTTGAATTGAATGTTGAAGAATAGTTGAAATTAGTAATAAGGCAAAGAAAACAACAAACAATATGAAAGTAGACCCTTGATTAAATCATATTAACAAAGAACATATACAACAGTGTTAATATAAAGTATGTTTTGTTGGCTCGTATCCATTATATACATTTGAGAAAATTAATTAGAGATTATATGTCTTGTTGGCTCGTATCTGTTATTTATTCGTTAAACGTCCATGATGAATGTAAGCTCCTCACAGAGCAAAACTTCTTCTCAGATTCGTCTTAGTCTCGACCCTTTAGGCTGCGCTCCATGTACTCCTCTCCCTATCTCTTTGTCTCCCTCTTCTTCTGCCTTATCCATTGTTGCAAATTAAGTTTTGACCGAAATATGTCGTATTCTCATTACCATCAGATCCACTGTACGTTAGCATTAATCTCTTCTCAGATTAGGTTATCGATCATTAAGCACTAAAAAGCTTATATTTTTCTCATGAGCAATATAAGGGTAGAGAATCGACTATGATTCAAGTAGTTAAATGGATTTGTATTGAATTTTATATGTCGTTTTGATTTTTAGAAAAAGAAATGAGACAATGATATTTGTCAAACCCTTGTGAGAAACTGAGAACTCTCCAAAAGTTTTAGTACACAATCTTAAAGTTTTATTCAATTTTTCATAGTTCACCAAAAATTTTAACCATATAAAACCATCTTTATCCATATATATATAAAGATGACGATGAAACTAATGCCCTCATTGCTTCAAATAAAAAATGTGAACGTTCGTTGTTTTTACTTTAAAACTAAGGCCCTCAATTTGCTTTTTCCATTTGAGTTTCACTTGGTGACGTAACTGACTATAATATTTGGAAATGAAAACCACATAAACACAACCTTATTTAAATCCACAAACCACACAGATTCATAAATCGATCTTATCAACATTTAGAATGGAACACAAACACAGAATCTAAAGTTGCCACGATCACAATTGCAAATATTTTTCCTGCCCAAAACATTTAACCCTGGACCTCATCAATACATTAATTTTATCTCCAACCCACCACTCTCCTCCACCGAATGAGTTTTTCAAAAGTTCATCAGCCAAATGTATGCCACTTGAATTCATAAGTCTAAACTCAAAATCAATGCATCAGTCAACAAAAGCTTCAATCAAAATCAATGCATCACTTATTGAAGATTTATAATTTTCTTAAAGATGTAAACAACAAGGCAAAGTCATGATTTAAGATGTAGAAGGCATTTGTTCCATCCCAGAGAAAAATTTCAAGGATTTGAAGTCCCAATCTTTCCAAGCAATAATTATGAAATTTGTGTTAATCAGTCAAGACGAAACACCTGGTAGTTATTTCTAAACAATCATAGGACATCAATGTCCTTGCATAGACAAAGAATAAAAAGTAATCACTGATCTCTGCCGCAGTTATCGCAAACAGTTGTGAGTACACACCATTCGTCATGTTCTTGCGGTATCCCATTTTTCGATGTCACCTAGACATCAAGCGCTAGGGTGAAGATTAAACCTAATTCAGATGTAAATACACAATGCTCCAAGGTCAAAGATAAAAAAAAAAAAAATTATGAGGAAGATATGTTATATGGGTAACTAATTTATATACTTATAGATGTGTTAATGATAAGAACTCTTGAAACTCTTTTTCTTCTCGTCAGTCAGATAGTAGTAGTGGATTTAAATAGTCAAATTATAGTTTAATGTAGAATTTGGAACGTTTTTTTCATGAACATTTAATTAACCATTTTGAAAAAATTCACCAATAGTCAAATTGAGTGTATTATTAGACTGTGA